TTCTATGCTTTCTTCTTCTTCTTCTTCTTCTTCTTTTTCCTTTTTTTTATTCTTTTCTCTTTGTCTGATCATATATGAGGCAGCAGCCTACTTGAGGATTCCTTGTTATCCATGTTTCATTTTCCAGCTATCATGCCTTTTCTCCTTTAATTTTACCTCCTCCTTTTACAAGTTGTGATCTCTTATGTAAGTGAAGATGAGGGTGATTGGGGTTAGAGAGGAAAATAGTTTTAGGAAAATACTATGAATTAACTTGTTCTAGTGAACTGCGTTCTTTATCCTTCTAGTAGCCCATATGAAATTATGGGAAACCTCTACCTAACAAAAAAGTGGGGAAGCCAATGTAAGGTGCATCTTGTTGTTGTCTTTCTCAGTGGCTTAAGCCAGTTAATGCCTCTATCTTGACCAGTTATTTTGTGCATTAACATTAAAGGCACTCCAATTTCTGCACATTTCCATGCTTGATACATGCAAGGTTTCTATATTCTCTACTGTGGTCCAATTTGCACTTTGGGACATTGCATGGATACAGCAGTTGGTTGTGTGGAAAGCCCAATCATTAAAAATTAGATTTGTTCTCCATAGTGAGATTTCATTCAGAGGATACACGTTTTCTGTTGTCTGTCACTAATTGTTAAATATTAGTATCTTATTATGGAAGATAGGAGAGACGCTAATCCTTATTTTCCATATATAACCAAGAATTAAACCTGCATTTTTGATGGATTTATGGTGAGGTTTCTCAGCTAACAGTAAACTATTCCTTTCCATGGTGAGTTTTAATTCGTGGGACATTTTTAGCCTAAATGTCTTATGTTGTCTATGTCACTAATTGTTAAAAGATTTAACATCTTACCATGGAAGATAGGAGATTTGCTTATTATTGCATTGGCCATAAATGAACGAGAATCTGGAGACTTAAAACTTGTGTGAACCTGGCCTTGATTTGAGGTCTATGCCATAAGATGTCCCACGTTTTAGATTTCAAGTGTGTTTATGTGCATTTTACATAGACTCTTTCAACCAATGCCACCTTTGCAGCATTCATTATGTAAACTGATACTAAGTACTTTATACTGAAAAAAGGTAATCGTAAACTGATACTAAGTACTTTATACTGAAAAAAGGTAATCTCCCTGAATGGGGAATAGGTTGAGTTTTGCACTGTTATAGTGTTACCAATCTTAATCTGTCAGTCCTTTCATACTGAGGTTGTTAGCAAACACAATTGTGCTTATGTAGTATGTGTCCAAAGTGGGTTTGAGGGTTTGAAATTATTAGGGATCTATATTGGGGTATCTTATATTTCAAATTCTCTCCATCCTCATGTCTTCTCTCTTTTTACTCTTTCCAGAGTACTCTTGATACTCTTATGGTAATCGCAGCATTGGCTTCTTGTGGTGCTATCTGTTCACTAATTCCTTCAGGAAAGCAGCATCGTCATCTGTAAGTTGAAAATAGTTCTTCCTTTTTGACTCTTGTGATGTTAAGCATGATTTGCTAGAACCTATGCCTTTTAAATATTTGTGGTAGCAGACCCTGGATAGGTTCGTGTTTGTGAACCAACTAGCAGTCTCACTCCCCTGGATTTTATCCTTAACTTCTCCCCTCTCAGACACCTATAAGTGAGTTGTATTATAGTGGTACAAATTCTGAACCTAGTTTGAATAAATTCAACTTGAAGTTAAATTCATGGATGGAAGGTGCTTTGTAGCTATGTATGGTCGTTTCTTTAGCGGTTGATGGTGGAAGGTGGCCATAACCTAATTTCAAACAAATCAACTTGACTTGAAGTTAAATGGGTGGATGAATGGTGGGTGTATTATGATTTTGTTGCAGTTGGAGATATAACATTATGTAATAGTTATAATGAAAGATTTTACTGAAGGAGAAGGAACTGCTGTTAGCTAAGGCCTCTTTATGATATGCCTGGCTGTTAGTGGTTGATTTAACAGTTTCCCATGCTTTTTTATTTACGTTTATGTATTTGTGTTTGAATTTAACTTTTCAGTCTAAAAGCTGAACTCTGTTTCTGCAGGGATCAATTCAGGCGGGCTATTGTAAAGCACAGCCGTGCTGAGTTTCCTACTTACTCAGTCTCCAAGGACGTATCCTAAAGAGAAGTTGTGGAATAGTCCAATGAGTCCATCGGCATGGTCAAACTCTCCTGTTAAAGGTATCATATCATTCTGTCTTGCAGGGCCTTTTTCTTCTGAAGTGGATTGTACAGTAGCTCATCTATTTTATTTGGTTCTGTTTGGCTGTTCTGTCACAGGTGTCCTTTCATTCTCTACCATTTCAGGGACAAGAAACCAGGAGTACTACTCAACTTTCCACAAGACATGTAATCGGAAGAAGTTTACAAAGCAAGAGTGGGAAGATTTCACTCGAGAATCAACCCGAAAAGCTATGGCAGAACTGGCAGCAACTACAGAATCCACTGACTGGGTCATTGAGCCTGCAGACCGGATAAAGCTCGTTTCAAATGACAGTTCAGATGAATCAATTGGGAGCAAATCGAGTTCTATAGACGAAGAAGCTAAAGAGAGCAGCAGTCAGTTTAGATTCTTTAGTTGGAAACGATGAAGTTGAAGATAACATTAACCTGGGAATTACACAAGCATATGTTAAATTAGCATCAAATTTAGGAAATTTAGTAGCCATTTGCCAAGTGCAATCTCTGTGAGCATTTAGCAGCCATTTGACATTTTCCAGAAAGTTAACTAACCACGTAACGCATATGGTGTTACCATTTGATGTAACTTGAGTAATGTACAGACAAAGCTACGTGAACTGCGAGCGGTAACCGTTTTTTGGTAGTAGATGTAGATTAGATTCGTAATGCCATTTGTTGCAATATTTTATGGGGCTTCACCTAGGAGCACGAATCATTCAACAAATTCATCATGAATGCAATCATTTATTTAATTATATATTATAAATGTAAATTTATAATCTTTTCGTTGTAATTAAATATATCATTATTTATATAACAATGTTTAACATCATTATTTAAATAATTAACATTTATTACCTTAATTAATCAAATATTTGCCCTAGACAAAAACAAAAATTTTAAAAAGAATAATGACATGGAAGATAATTTTTTTTTTTAGAATTTTCTTATACATCTTTTATATATTATTAAATAAATGAATGTATATAAATATCACAAATCTAAGTATATCAAAAAATTTAACCATTAAATAATATATAATATTATATAAAAAAAATTGTAAAAAAATTATATCTAAATAATTTCCCTTGAGATAACGGGAGAAGAGGAATAGCTTAATTTGCAACCTTAAGAACATTCCTCGTAACAAAAGAAATAGTGGATGAAAATTTCCCGTAATTCAAGATGAAGACCAAAGAACTAATGAAAAACTTTGAGATGTTCGAAAAATACCAATGGAAGAACAGAACTTTAAAACAAAAATTTGGAATAACCCCCTAAAAATGTCCTTCAACTTAGTGTTATCCGCTAACTTATTAAGGACATGTATATGTTGTAAAAAAATAATTATTTTTCTGGTACATGTGAAGATCGTAAATTAGCTAATCAATGGCGTAGAAATGTAACATCTAACATGTCTCTTTCTAAAAAGGCATTCGGTGTAGGCAGAGGAGAGTCAAAACAGTAGTTCCACCGGACGTCTGCAGCCGAGTTACCCTCATGAGGTGTGAGTTGAATAATAATAAAATTGAACTCAAATCTAAGCCTTTTGATGTGAGACACAAGAACTGCTGAAAGACTATCTTGCTCCTTCAAACCATTGATAATTTGGACTGCTGGTAATGAATCCATTTCAACAACTATATGTTTAAGTCCTCCATCCTTGCATAAGATAGCCTTTCTCTGCAGCCCCATAATTCACCTTAGAAAATGGAAGCTAATCCAATATTCACGAAGTGACACTGAATAAAAACACCTAACTGGTCGCGCAACACCGCACCTGCACTTGCAAATTCAATTTCCTGTTTTCGAGAACCATCCGTATTTAACTTGCAAAAGGGCGGATCTGGTGGATGCCAACATATCCATCTTGGTTCTCTCATTTTAAGTTTTTAACAAAGATATTGCATGCCATTGCTTTGTATGTATCCCATGCATAATCACAAATTATATCACAAAGTGTAGTTGTATTGGTATATGCTCACCTTTAAAAATGTAACGGTTCCTGCATTTCCATAGTCGCCAAATAGCTAGTAGGCGAAGAAAGAACACAGGATATCTCCCCATTTTGTACTTTAGTAACTTTCCTGGAAGAGTTTTTTGATCCAAATCCAATGCAGCCAAGGCAATTGAAAAAACTCCAGATCACCCAGTCCTAGCAAAGTCCATACTTGAGCTACAAACGGACAATCTCTCAAAAGATGTAAGGATGTCTACGGTTCCCCACCACAATGTGGACAGGTTGAAGGGGAGGCCAAATGTCGTTCAAATCGAACAGCCTTAGCTAAAACTCTATTTCACAACAGCAACCATAGAAACTTCCTAACTCTCTCGGAACATTATACATCAAGTCGAATTGCACGACACTGAGCCGTTAAATAAGGCTAATTCCGGAGGTCCCATCGGCAAATATCCTTAATTTTAAGGTAAGGTGCTTATAAACTTTAAATTTTATAGGATTTGTTTGGTTTGGGGTAATTATTATTATTATTATTATTATTATTATTATTATTATTATTATTATTACTATTACTGTTGACTATCCAATATTCAAATTACAAAAAAAGAACTAAATTTAATAACTAAACTTTAATGTTGATATTTTTTATTAAAAACTAAAAAACAAATGAGAAATATGTATTCTTTTCATTTTTTAGGAAATATGAATTCCTTTGTTATTTACTAATATAAAAAGAAAATTATATATTAAGACTTAACTATTATCAAGCTTTCTATAAAAATTTGGCAATTTTAAACTCTTTTTGTAATTAGATCAAAAAATAGTTATTACTAACAACCAAATAAGTTCTATAAAATTTTAAGAAATAGTCATTACTAACAACCAAAGAAGTTCCATAAAGTTTAAAGTTTAAAGTTTTTGGACTTCTTACCTCTCCTTAAAAGATAGGGAGATTCTCCTTTTAAAAAAAGGACTTGGGGAATTAGCCTTATTTAATGACTTAGGCTTTGTTTGTCTGTGCTTCTTAATTACAAATTTTTTTTACACAATACCTTATTTAAAAATGTAAATTTATAATTCTTAATTAATTTTAAAAAAATAATTTATACACATTTGATTTAACATATTATCTGAGACACATTAGGTTTAACTATTAAAACTTAACATATAAATATAATCCAATTTAACTGATTTCTCCATCTGTATACATGATTGCATTTATAAATTTGTTTATATTTATTTTATAATTCTTATCAAGTCTGCAGCTTCCATTAATGTGTTCTTTAGGTAAAGCGTGTAATTACATCAACACTTTATTCTTTGCAACCTTCTTAAGCTTCAAATGTGTCCCAACCTTTGGCTTATGGGTTCACGTAATTCTTCGCGCAAATCATGTAATAACTTTATTCTTTTTCCCTTTATTCTTGGAGTACATCTTCTCAAGTTTTTGCGTTGTGAATTTAAGCTTTTAGCTTAAATAATTGTTGATAGCATAAAAAGTGATTCGTAACTTAGTACAGAGGTAATGAGCAACTATAATTTGACATCTTAGGTTGCTTACATTGATGTACAGATCTATGTAATACTTTTAATGTTTGAATAGAAAAATGAAGTTCACTTAACCATTGAAAGAATGGTAGCTTTTTAGATATTATGACTTCACTCTTCTATCAAAAGTTAAAAATATTGCAATCCATGTGAGGTAAACTACACTTTTATATTTTCTAATTAAAATAACGTACTTACATAATTTGTGAACTAAATCTACACAGATAATAATAATTGCAAGTTAGTTTTACTTAATTGATCCTTCTTTCTCCTTACGAAATGATGGAGAAATTAGACGAAAAAGGCCAAAAGGTAAGAGCTCACGGTCCCAATAGCATCACTCTCTTTGCATATTTGTTTGACATGTAGCATTTGCTTTATTGCCTTTCTCTTAGAAAAATAAAAGATGCCTAATAGAACTTCTGAATGAATGCAGATGCGACCATACAAATAAACTAAAGGAAGAATATATTTCTTAAGTATGAATTACGAAAGGACGAATTAGAAGGAGAAAGCAAAAGCTAAAACATCACGTATCCCTTTTTTTTTTTTTTTTTAATAAAAAGATCAATACATTGCTTTATTTCCTTTCTCTTAGAAAAATAAAAGATACCTAATAGAACTTCCAAATGAATGCAAATGCGACCATACAAATAAACAAAAGGGAGAATATATTTCTTAAGTATGAATTACGAAAGGAAGAATATATTTCGTATGTATATATGAATTACAAAAGGAAAAATTAGAAGGAGAAAGCAAAAGCTAAAACATCACGTATCCCTTTTTAAAAATAAAATAAAAATAAAAAGATCAATAGTTGCTGTTTCACTATAAAAGTGGAGAAACATCATCCTCTCCGAAGCCATTTTAACTCCACCCAACAATTACGCATACACAATTGTGTCTCTTTGCATTCTTCATCTCTATCATGGCAGCTGATGCAATTGTTTCGGCTGTGCTGGAAAAATTGACTTCAATTGCACTAGATGAAATAGAAAAAGAGGTTAGACTGGTTATCAACGTTCGTAGAGAGGTGGACAAACTTAGAAGCAATTTTCGAGCGATCAAAGCTATTCTGGAGGATGCAGAGCGGCAGCAATTGGAAAAGGGGAAGGTCAACGTTCGAGATTAGTTGGACAAGCTCAAGGGCGTCTCTTATGACATTGATAATGCATTGGATGAGTGGAGCACTGCAATTCTCAAGTCAGAACTTGAACCGGAGCCGAAGGTATGTTCCTTCATCCCGTCTCCTTCCTATTGCTTTAATAGAGGGAAATTGCTTCTCAAAACTGCACACAAGATACAAGCATTGAATGAGAGGTTGGATGTTATTGCAAATGAGAGACAAAGGTATGGGTTTAAGGTATTAAATAGTGAAAAACCAAAACGCGATGAAACTACTTCTTTCATAGATGTAGCAGAGGTGATGGGTAGGGTTGAGGATAAGGAGAGGATAGTAAATATGTTGCTAAATAAGGGTAGAAATGAAGAAATAGGATCAAAAGTTCAGATGATCTCCTTGGTAGGCATTGGGGGGATTGGGAAGACAACCCTTGCTAAACTAGCCTTTAATAATGAGAAAGTAAAGTCTCATTTTGAAGCAAAAATATGGGTGTGTGTTTCTGATACTTTCAGTGAGATGAAAATTGCCAAAGATATTCTTAAATTTGTGATTTGTAATGCTGATAAGGATGTCATTGAGAAATTGCATAAATTGAATTCTCCTTTTGAAAAAATGGATAAATTGAGGGATGCTATTGTAGAAATGGAGAAGTTGAGGGATACTATTGAAAGGTTAGACAAATTGCAGGATGTATTGCCATACCTTAAAACCTCAATCGAGGGTAAGAAATTCCTACTTGTCCTAGATGATGTGTGGACTGAAGAGTATGGAAATTGGGATCAACTGAGACACTTGTTGTTGAGTACTGGTTCCCAAGGAAGCAAGATCTTAGTGACCACGCGTAAGGAGGGAGTAGCAAGAGTCATGGGTTGCGAATTGTTCAAAGTAGGAGAGTTATCTGAAGAAGAAGGTTGGTCATTGTTTAGTCAAATAGCATTTTTTGGGAGATCTAATGATGACTGTAGAAATTTGGAAGAAATTGGTAGGAAAATTGCAAACAAGTGCAAAGGCTTGCCACTGGCTTTGAAGA